CATTTTTATAAAGTTTTTTAAGTTCCTTAATAAGTTTTTAACACTATTTGAATATCCACTCTATTTTTCTAGATGCTTTTCTAATTCAATTAAAACTTAAAATTATCAATGTTGTTTGAACAAAGAATGAATTAGTTAAAAGTGTGTTATAAAAGTAATAACACTATTATAGTGTTATTACTTTTATAATGCAGTTAGTTACTAAAGTGTTATTACTTTTGTAGTCGTAAGTTTATTATTTATTTTTTTTAAACTTTTTCATTAACAAATTTAGGTTGATTCACCCCTTGAAAACAAAGAACACGGTTTTGCATAATATAAAATTTTAGTTAATAGTGTTATTACTTTTGTAGTCGTAAGTTTATTATTTATTTTTTTTAAACTTTTTCATTAACAAATTTAGGTTGATTCACCCCTTGAAAACAAAGAACACGGTTATGCATAATATAAAATTTTGAAGACCAGATATTTTTCCGGATTTTTCATTTTGCAATCGCTTAATTCAACCCTTGAAGTATATGAAGAGTTTAAAGAACAAATACAACAAGACTTAACTGGTTTTTATAAACTGGGTTACCATGGAATAAAGAATGTTTAACTCTAGCATCTTATTCAGAAGGGAGCATCTCCAGGTTACACAAATTACTAAGAAAGCTGGAAAAGAAACCAAATGATTTTATCAAATACAATGATATTATTTAAAAACAACTTAAGGACGGAATTATTGAATATGCACCAATCAAACCAACTGGAAAGAGGATATTCTATATGTCTCATCATGCGGTGATAAAAGAAGATTCCGAAACAACTAAGCTAACAATTGTGTTTGATGCTTCTGCTAAAGAGCATGGATCACTCTCACTCAACCATTGTTTGCATATTGGTCTCCATTACAACCTTTACTACTTAATGTTATTTTGCATAACAGATTGCAACCTGTTTAACAAATAAGGATTGATACCAAAAATGGTGACGTCTGCCTTTCCATTGGATATCTGAATTAAAAAGTAAAGAAGTTATAACTCTGCGGTTCACCCGAATTCCATTTGGATGAACATCTAGTCCCTTTATACTTGGGGGAGTAATCAAACAACATTTATTGACATATGAAAATCATAACCCACATCAAAAGAATGAAATTCAATTAATCAACAAGAGCATATACGTTGATGACATAATCACTGAAGGGATTGATATGAAGTATGTTAAAAATTTGAAGCTATCAGCAACTCATTTATTCGAAAATGCAGGATTCAACCTTCACAAGTGGCATTCAAATTTTACTGTATTGGAAACAAATTTTCAGGAGAAAACTATAATGAAGTAACCCCCAATGAACACCATCAACGTTATTCAAAATTTCTTGGTTTGTTATGGGATAAAGTGATGAAAATTTAATTGTGAATTGCAGGCCTACTTGCAAAACAGATTGTTTAACTAAAATTGGAATATTAAGAAGTTTGGCTAAAGTCTTAGATCCACTTGGTGTAATTTCCCCAATAACGCTAACAGCAAAACCAATTTATCAACAAATATGTGATTTACAATATTCTTGGGACAAATCGATTTCACAAGAATTAGCAGAGAACTGGCTGCTTTGGAAAAATACCTTACTAGATCTAACACCAATATCAAGAAGTATTACTATTTTGGATCATATGATAAAAAATATTGAAATCATGGATTTGGTGATGCAAGTAAAGATAGCTGCTGCAGTGCAATATATGAAGTAGTACATCAAGGTAACAAAATCACTGAAGGAATACTTACTGCTAAATCACGCATTTCCAAACAAAGTTTATCTATTCCAAGACTTAAATTAAATTCTGGACACATGGTAGCTAACGTTTGTGTAACTATTGTTACACAAAGGAACTGGAAGACTTTGCCTAACATTCGAACGACTTAAAGAAAAGAATCGAGGCAAGTGTGAAAATGGTATAGTTACTAAAGTTATATGAGTAGAAGACTTTCAAGGTGCTAAATTAAGAACGAGAAGTAATCAAATAGTGGAAATACCGGTTTAGATGCTCTATCCATTGGAAATTAGCTGACAAGATTCTAACAAGACTGAAGAAAACATAAAGGACTCTACGAAGCAAAGACTGGAATGAAAAGCAAAACCAAAAGCTTTAGAACTTATACATATAACAGCTCTTGATGCACATTTTATCCCCAATTTGTAGATATTTTATCTACAAATTGGGGAGTGTGTCATAAACTTTTAGTATTTAGTACAAATATTTGTAAATTAATGTCACGCGATGACGTCTTTTTTCACGGTATTTTGAATGGGTTTTTCTTATATAGCAATTATCTTGGTATCAAGGGAATATTTAAGTAACGTATTCTAGTTATGGATAACTGCCAGTTGTGTATAAATATCGTTGGTTTATATTTAAAATATATTAAGTGTTAAAAATTGATGTGTCTGAACACAATATTAAATTCACGACATACTGTATAAGAAAAATTATAACAATAAAAAAACGCAAGTAAACAAAAGTAGACTTTAAATAATGCTTGTGTCTTCACACTTTTGATATTAAATGAAAATTTATTTTGTTAAATTTGTTAAAATAGTTTTTTTTTCAAAAAAAAAATTTTATTTAAGCAACAATTATGAAAAAAAACACAACAATGTGCTCAGATCTAAAATCTCATTTTGCACAGTGATGGCTTGTTACACACTTTATAGCACAGTGATGGCTTGTTACACACTTTATAGCACAGTGATGGCTTGTTACACACTTTATAGCACAGTGATGGCTTGTTACACACTTTATAGCACAGTGATGGCTTGTTACACACTTTATAGCACAGTGATGGCTTGTTACACACTTTATAGCACAGTGATGGCTTGTTACACACTTTATAGCACAGTGATGGCTTGTTACACACTTTATAGCACAGTGATGGCTTGTTACACACTTTATAGCACAGTGATGGCTTGTTACACACTTTATAGCACAGTGATGGCTTGTTACACACTTTATAGCACAGTGATGGCTTGTTACACACTTTATAGCACAGTGATGGCTTGTTACACACTTTATAGCACAGTGATGGCTTGTTACACACTTTATAGCACAGTGATGGCTTGTTACACACTTTATAGCACAGTGATGGCTTGTTACACACTTTATAGCACAGTGATGGCTTGTTACACACTTTATAGCACAGTGATGGCTTGTTACACACTTTATAGCACAGTGATGGCTTGTTACACACTTTATAGCACAGTGATGGCTTGTTACACACTTTATAGCACAGTGATGGCTTGTTACACACTTTATAGCACAGTGATGGCTTGTTACACACTTTATAGCACAGTGATGGCTTGTTACACACTTTATAGCACAGTGATGGCTTGTTACACACTTTATAGCACAGTGATGGCTTGTTACACACTTTATAGCACAGTGATGGCTTGTTACACACTTTATAGCACAGTGATGGCTTGTTACACACTTTATAGCACAGTGATGGCTTGTTACACACTTTATAGCACAGTGATGGCTTGTTACACACTTTATGGCTTGTAGTTTGCACAGTGATGGCTTGTTACACACTTTATGGCTTGTAGTTTGCACAGTGATGGCTTGTTACACACTTTATGGTTTGTAGTTTGCACAGTGATGGCTTGTTACACACTTTATGGCTTGTAGTTTGCACAGTGATGGCTTGTTACACACTTTATGGCTTGTAGTTTGCACAGTGATGGCTTGTTACACACTTTATGGCTTGTAGTTTGCACAGTGATGGCTTGTTACACACTTTATGGCTTGTGGCCTAATTTGATTTCAATCAATTGAAATGTGCATTCAATCAATTGAAATCCACTCTGTAGGTCTTACGTCTGGCTCTGATGTGCTAGTTCATAAGCACAAGAAGTGCTTATGAACTAGCACATCATGTGTTTAGCTTTCTAGTGACCTGATTTGAAAACGGACAAAAACATAACTAAACCATATCAGCCGACCGAACAGAACATACTAATGCACTACATCGCCACACCTGTAGACAATGAAAGTCTTTAAAATCAGTATATCAAATATTTGTTCTTTGTTGCATATGATCTACACACAAAGTGACTAGAGGATTAGATCTTTCTACCCCTGCCACCTGAGCATCTAACTTTGTTCTTCACCTTCACAAAAGTCTTACCACTCATTTTATATTTTCTTATAACCAAGTTTTTTTTTTTAATGGCAAAATAATCTCTATAGTAAAAATCAATAAATTCCTAATCATACACCAAATATACACCAAATACATAGATACACCAAATCATAGATACACCAAATCATAGATACACCAAATCAACATTATTAATGCCAGAAGGTTGCCCAGAGCAAAGTTGATCGTTTAAAATAAAGTTGACATTTTGAAATTAACCAGCCCACCTATTACCTATCTTTAGACTAGAAGCACAATCTGAATCTTTAATACTTTTTGCTGCAGTTTTAAAACTCATTCCTTTTTTTTAAATTGTATAGCATAACATAATGTAAATCTGACATAACATTTTCCATTTTGAATAATAACCTTGCACACAAATTAACTTTTTTAAAAGGTTATGTTGATTGTCAACATAACACATGTAGATAACCCTCATTAAATAAAGCAGACTATACTATAACAACCAATAACACAGTGATAAGATTGTTAGCAACAGTCATAAGATTATGAGACTGCAGAGCATTTTAAAAACTTTTAAAGGAATTTAATTTCATGCCTTTTTCAAGATTTGTTGTTAAAAGTAAGATTAGTTGCAGCATCTTTTATTACTTCAAATATTAAACAAAATATGATTATTAATTAATAAAATAAGATTAATAGTTAAAAAAATTTCTTTAATTGATTACCCTTTTAAGAGCTGACACAAAAAAATCATTTAAGACTATCAAAAGTTTTGACAGCAAACAGTTTTGGAAATAATATTGATCTTTAAAACATAAAACTGAAAATAACTAAATAACATTTAAAAAATCTCTTACTCAATAAAGTCTAAATTTGATTTTTTATCTAGTGCAGATTGAGCCATATTGTTAAAAAACTTTTTCATTTCTAAAACGCCTAATTGAAATGCTAGATCAGGGTCGACTTGCTCAGCTAAATTTTTCATATAATCTGAACGCACCTAAAAAGAACAAAGTTCATAATAGTATTTAAAATAAAAATGTAAAACGAACAAAAAAATCCAGATTTAATAAAGCACTGATCATGTCTAACAATCCTGTTATTATAACTTTTCTAAATGATAAAAAAGAACTAAAAAATTTATATAACATCCTATTACAAGTGTATTGTTTCCTTTTTTATTCTGCTTTTATATTTGCTAAAATATAGAAGCAGTGGAAAAAAATATATAAATCACTTAGCTTACTTAATTACAAAAATTAACATTTATAATTAGCTAATATTTATTTACATAGTTTAACTGGTCAGGTGTATGGTCTTCAAGATCACCCTGCTACTGGTAACATGTAGCCTAGCAAAACCTGTTCCATGTCCTGTTGCCTCGTGGGATTCACTTTCGAACCAAAGGCTGGAAGAACTTCCTATCATCAGTACAATTTATATGCCGTAGTGGTGTAGTGGTAAAACACTTGCTTCATAAGCAAGAGGTTCTAAGTTTGATCCCCACTGCATCCCTAGTAGTACCACGCTTAACTTGTTGAGTTGAGAGAGGGTTATAACCACTATTAAGTAGCCTCCTCATCTGTAGTTGCCTTCTTGGCCTTGAGGAGGTGAATAACAAAAAAAAAAAAATTATTATCTATTATGCCTATGTGTATCCTTTATACAATTAAAGGTGACTTAGTAAGTTAAATACATATAAAGTAAGTTACAGGTGAGCTAACTGTGTTAGCTCACCTGTAACTTACTTTAAATCAGGGATAACCAGTTAATATAACCAGATATAATAAACCAGATAACCTGTTAACCAGGAATAAATTTGATATCGTGTTTTGACGAAATTGGGAATTTGTCAAATATTTCTTAATCCCCCTCCCTGAGATTATAATGTATTCCAGGAATGCATAGGATCCTTTTCTTATATTCTTTCTTCTTCTACTCCACTGCAGCGCTGCATACATTGATTGGACAGTGCCAAAAATAGAACAAAATACCGTCTGTAACATATATTGAAGATAAATATGAAATCAAAAAAAATTAACTGTAGTTTCACAACGACACAACAAATTAAGCTCCGATTTCCAAAGATATTTTAAGAATTACATATTTTTATATAAAATAATCAGTATTATAATATTGATTAATTATTATCAAGAAAAATATATTTGGTTTATTTTTAATCTTAATATATCATTGCTGCTTTCATTTTAAGAGTATTCTTTTGAATATATTTTTCTTTTTTAATGGTGAACATTACATAGCTATTTTAAAAGTAATATAGCAATTTATGTTCAATGAAAATCTCTGCGGAAGAGAGCTAATGATCAACACAAAAAAGTTCTTTTAAACTCAAGTTACAAATGTTATGTTTGGGTTTTCCCTTTGCCGTTAAATTTTATGTAGAAGAATATTTTTTATAAAAAGAACCAAATCTCAAACCGATTAAAAATAACACAATCAGTAAATAAACTCTTTAAAAGCCCAACTTATATTTATTTTATTTTAAAAACAAAACTAATACTAGTGCTATAAATATAAGATACGTAAATTTCAAAATTATAATGATATTTGTTAAAAACAAATTCTGCTAATAACATCTTAAAACCAAAAATACTATTTTTCTTTTTGGATTGAGTAAAAAATAGAAAAAATACATTAGATTTCACTGTGCATAAAAATATAATATTTTAATGGAAATAAAAAAAAACAAAGCCAAAAAGTGGTAATTTTCGTTTCATTACAATATTTATTTTATCAAAACCAAACGTCTTTTTATTAAGGGGAAAACCCAATCTACGCGTTTAGTTGTTTTTAATCCCTTACAGAAAATCAACCATAAATGTCCCCTCTTTTTAAAAAAAAACCATAAAACCAATGTTTTAAAGCAAAAAAATTAAGTTTTTAATATAAAGAAACTTTTTTTTAACCAACATTTAAACTTTATTTTTTTTTTTTTTAATAACATCATTGTTTAATTTAAAGCTATTTCATTTCAAAGACTTACATAATTTTTAATGTCGTTTTAAATTTAATTACAATGAGGTATTTAAAAAAACGCAACTGACGTAATTAAACTTTTAACAATGTATCTTTATTGAATAAAGTTACTTTTATTCACGTTGCACATTTCCGTTACGCAGCGAAATCTTGTAACAAGGCCTGGTATATATATATATATATATATATATATATATATATATATATATATATATATATATATATATATATATATATATATATATATATATATATATATATATATATATATATATATATATATATATATATATATATATATATATATATATATATTATATATATATATATATATATATATATATATATATATATATATATATATATATATATATATATATATATATATATATATATATATATATATATATATATATATATATATATATATATATATATATATATATATATATATATATATATATATATATATATATATATATATATATATATATATATATATATATATATATATATATATATATATAAAACGATGAGGGAAAACAAAGAATAATGAATTTTCATTCATTATTCTTCGTTTTCTGAAAATGCTCACTGAATTTAGGCTAGCAAAAAAAGTGAGCAATTGCGCATATAAATATGCTATAGTAGATATGTGGATACACAAATAGTATTGCGTACTTTGGTAAGCAATCTGACGTCATACTGAAATAGCCGGCTGGGGGCTTCAGTACATACAACAACTGACAAATAGCCTGACTCGCAGTGAAGTGCTGCTACATCAACTGAAGGTTTGGGATGGGGAAGCAATCGTTTTATTTATCATTCTTCGTTTTTTTCTTCTTCTTTTTCGAAAAAAACGGTTTACCTTGAAGTAAGCACAAAAAGTGAGCAAATGCTTATCAAAACACGCTTTAGTAAGTGTATATATATATATATATAAATATATATATATATATATATATATATATATATATATATATATATATATATATATATATATATATATATATACAAATATATATATATATATACAAATATATATTTATATAAATACATAAATACATATATATATATATATATATATATATATATATATATATATATACAAATATATATATATATATATATATACAAATATATATTTATATATATATATATATATATATATATATATATATATATATATATATATATATATATATATATATATATATATATATATATATATATATATATATATATATATATATATATATAACTTCATAACATTTATTTGCTCATTTACAACAAAATAAAGCAAAATAAAAAACCGCATCTGGTCATAATAAAGAAATCTTTTGTTCAATTTGTTGCAGAACTTCTAAAATCTATATATCTTTCTTTTGTTTGACTACTTCTAGAGTTTGCTGTACCAGTATGGGCTCCTTATCAAAAGCAAGATAATGCCATTTTAGAAAGAATGCAGCATCGTGCCACTAAATAAATGTCTTCAATCAATAAATTATGCTATGCAGATCGACTAGCTTGTCTTAGAATATCCTCACTAGTTAAAAGAAGACAACGAGGTGACATAATTTAACTGTATAAAATTTTCAAAGGTTTCGATAAAGTTAAATTTAAATAAAATAAGTCCTTCAAATCTAATTGTACTCGTGACAATAACCTAAAGTATTCTGAAGAATTTTCTGTACATAATTATAGAGAAAATATTTTACTAAGTCAAGCCACAAATTATTGGAATGCACAGCCAGGAAATGATGTTAAAGCTAATTAAGTAAATTCATTTAAAGTAAGTCTTGATCAATGGGAGTCAAACCATCACAAGACTTAGCTATCATAGTGTGCTTTAAAACCACAATCACTGGTTGCAATACCAGTCACAGCATAAACTAATACTAATACTAATACTAAATAAGTAATAAGTTCTATGAACTTATTACTTATTTTGTTGTTCAAATCAGAAAGTTAATTGAACATGAATTGTAATATTTTTTCAGCACTCACTAACATTGTGTCTTTACAACTTAAATTATCAACAGCCAATTAAATATGCTCAGCATGCAAAATCCAGGTCGGAATTCAACAGCGCCGATGTAAAATGCTAATCTACTTTTACTTTACTATGACAACTACTTTACTATGACAACTACTTTACTATGACAACTACTTTACTATGACAACTACTTTACTATGACAACTACTTTACTATGACAACTACTTTACTATGACAACTGCCAAGTTAAATCTCTAAAAGTGTCGGTAAAAATAAAATATGCAAAAAAAAAAATATTCATTCAATATGAGCTACAACTTATTGTTATTGATTTGTTTTTTCAAGTAAGACAAGCTTTATTTTTTTTCAATTAAATTTTTTATACTGTCTCCAATTCATTCATAACAAGCATAGCAAGGTTATTAATTCATTTAAATGTTATTAAAACTTACCTTTCAAATGTCTGTTCTAACGCTTTTTTGCTCAACATTTTAGCGCAATTATTATGTTTTTATGCTTTAAATATCTAATAGTAAAGTTTATAATAGTAAATATCCAGGAATGCAAAGCATGAGTCCTGAATCCAAGAGTCCCTATTTTTATCCAGGGTCTGGGGTCCTGTCTGTCATAAAAATTGTTGAGACTCCGGGATATTTTCTAATTATATCACTGCATATGAACATTACCTAACAAATCTTTATTAACTTCTATAACTTTAATTTAAATTTGTTTAAACAACAGTTATGTAATTTTAAACCAGTAAAAGAACGAAGGCATTGAATAACGCTGCATATGGCAAGCACTATGGCAAACAAATAATTTTAAAATGTGCAGTGTCTTTATGCCAAACATCACCGATAGCAGACATTGCTTTTAAAGAATACATAAGAGGCAAATCACAGCATATGCAGAGCACAAAACCTTTGGTGTATACTGATAGCTAGATGCTGAATTAAGCTTAAGCTAGGGTTATCATTGTCCAGGTTTTTCTGTAGGAGAAGACAATGCAAATTTTAATTAGTTTAGCGCTTAGCTTTCCTACCTTATAAGCAAGACAACGCTAGCTTAAATATACTGCAGTTGTGGCGTAGTGGTCAGAGTTCCGGCTCAGAACCAACATGTCAGAGGTTCAATTTCTGTGTTCATTCTAAAATAAAAGGAGTTTTTTAGTGCATTTTTTTATTACAGCTAGTTGATCATTAGGAATCACTACAGGTAGTGTATCACTACAGGTAGTGTATACTGTATATACTGGGTATACAGGTATCGCTATCAGGTGATGAATCACTAAAGGTAGTGTAACATTAGAAAAACACAATTAAAGGTCTTTTTAAACACAGTTAGAAAGTATCATTTTACAAGTGTAGCAATTAAAGTATATTAAATGTGTTTGAGCACGTCATCAGAATATTTTTTGAGTCGTTATAACTTATCATTTAAATCAAATTTAAATTAAAGTTAAATGCAGTAAACTTAGAATTTTTTGCATTACTGACAAGCACTCTACCACTACGCCACTAGCACATGTTCCACCACTACGCCACTAGCACAAGTAATGCGGTAGTGGTGTAGTGGTAAGAGCGCTCGCTTTGTAAGCGAGAGGTTCGGAGTTCGACTCCCACCACGTCCCTGGAAGTACCGCGCTCAACTTAATTTCTCCGCACAGCGGCCTTGCTTGTCAAGGTTCGTGTTTCGAAGTTAAAGAGTTGAGAGAGGTTTGTACCACGATATACAAAAAAAAAAAAAAAAAAAAAAAAAAAAAAAAAAAAAAAAAATGAATAGAAAAAAAAAATGAGTAGCCTCCTCGACTGTAGTGGCCCCCTCAGGCCTTGGGGAAGTAAATAATTTGAAAAAAAAAAAAAATGTTTACTTGAAGTTATCAAGTTTGTAAAGTATATTAGTAGAAATACCTTCCTTATACAAAATGAAATCAAGAAAAAATTATAATTTTTCACAGCATAATTGAAAGATTACTCTACTCATAATAGAAAGATTATATATACTCTACTCTAACATTTCATTCCTATAAACTCTTCTACTACTTCATTCCTATAAACTCTTAATTGACTTGAAAAATTAAATTTTAAATAATCGGAGTTTAGAGTCCTTATTTTTGACCCCTGAGTCCTAGATTCCATAAAAATTGATAGGACTAGTATTAGTAATTATCTAGTAGTTTTGTCATAGATAAGTATTATAAACATATGTGGAGAAAATAAATTATTGTTTCTAAACTAAAAGCATTTTAGTTTAGAAACAATAATTTTTTTAAGTCAAAACAAGGTTTTTTATTAAAGCAATTAAAAATAAAAAATGCTACAGTGTTACACAAAGAAAACTCTAAACAAGTTGTTATATGCCTAACAGAACAGTTATTGAAAAATGAAAAAAGGGTTAAGCCCAATGGCTTTCAAACAAATGATTTAGGAGAAGTTTTCTTAAATTTGGTGTAAAACTTGTTGAGAGTATTCAGAGCTTTTGAAAAATCGTCACACAAAAAAGCAACAGAATTACTAATTAAATTACAACTAAATTAGCAACAGAAACACTTGTACATCCAACATCAGTCATAAAAAAAATATCTTTTCAGATCTTTTCATTTTATGCTCTCAAATGCATGCTTTTCTCAGATGCATGCAACTTTTTCTTATATAATAAATCACACACTCCCAAAGTCTTACAAGAATCACACACTCCTAAGTGCAAACAGTGATTAATACAAAACTGTCTAATGATATTTACATGA